ATTTTGAATATGTCCTTTGCAAATTGAACGTTACCTTAAATTGGACATGGGATATTCAATGTACATCTGCTACCATGAGCAGGATCGAAATCGACAGTGTTTCGGACATTATTGGTAGTGCCATTGAGGGAAGTAAAACCTCATTGGCTCCGAAGAACGTTAGCATTATTGATCTGAACAGCATTTTCTCTGATTTAAAAGACAGCAGTATCATTATGTCAAACAATAGCTTCTAATTACACTTTTCACATTCATTTGAAAAATTGTGCTTTTTTTCAAGTTGAACTTAAACACTCTGTGGCGTAGAACTCCAAGTGAGTGAAATAGGATACAAATAAAAAAATGAAGAGTGAATTGCCAGGCCAATAATATGGTATATTTAGAAAACATTTCACATTTGCTTTCTCTCATTGCAATTGAACGTTTCGATTAATGAAAGCTAAATATGTTTCTACATTGATCTGTTGCAAAAACAAGTTTTGATATCAACCATAGAAAACGCCCAAAAAAGCTGACATCAAAGTTCGAAACAGACAGCACGATTTCGATCTGGCATATACATCTTATGTATACGCCAGTAATGTAACACTGAACTCAACTTTCGCTACAGACCACTTTGATTATGACGACATCATCTATATTATTGACAAAATAGTGACTAGGTTCATTCAGAATGAGACCAGTTCTCAAAAGCATTGCACTCCTGGCTCATTACCAGACACTAGGTGGCTCTACGATCAGCTACAGATCTGACCATTGATCTGGGTCACGACTTCAATGTTTGAGACTCAGCTCGAAGATCAATCTTGACAAGAAATGATTATTAGGAGTTTCATTTGGAGAATAATCCATTCATATATATCGCAGCAAAAAATGAATTGTGCTATTGTATCACTGACCTCAATTGATGACTCATTTATTTTGTAAACTTGGTTTACTTGAGAATGGTTCAATAAACCGAAACAGGTCGTAACAAATAAAAATCTTACTAGAAATTATACATAATTGTATTGAATTGTAATTTGAGAACTTCATGTTGTAACACAAATTACAACTGAACACTGGACACTTTGTAACTATCGCATGTATTTCACTGTCGATTTTTCGATTGTCCAAACTGTTGTGTGAACTTATTCAAACTGACTTGAAGCTCGACGCTGTCTCGTATATATACCACATTTGAATTTTCTCTAGTGGTACCAACGACCACCTCCGAGAGTCGCTGTCAGGCGGCTCCGGTAAGTATAAAAACTTTATAAACAGATTACTAACACACACTTTTTTACACACATAGTTCGCGAGCGAAAGATACTTGTCTCCGGTAAAGTTAAGGGGACTCCATGCAAACATTACACACAGTAAAATCACGACAAATCAAAATCAACAGATCACGAGAGTGAAAACACCTTAAGGCTCACTTTCAACCCCAGGAGGACAGATATCAATCATGTTGAAGTTTCCATCAACAGGTTGAGGTTTCCTAAGGATTAAGTGGAGGTGGGTGGACAAGATTCTAGCTTCTGCACACACTAACTATGTGGGCACTCAACTCCCGGGGGGGGGGTATGGGGATCTCTTGTGGTCGCCATCATTTTCACCTGTCGAGAGCAGTTCGACACTCTACGCGTGGCGATGTGATGCCGCGATATATCGGACTTCTTTCAATGACAACGTGTTGGCATTTGCTACTTTGTTGGCTCTGGTATACGTGCTAGCACTGTTAGCTTTATTGAATTTCTAAAGTTCACAAGGTCCTTTGATAATTATTTTGTTCACTCTGAGGAATGTTCCGGAGTATTTCCATTGCCTGACTTCGCGGTAGTATAACTAGGATAGTGGTTGCAGGTAAATAACCTGTAATAACTAACCATCAAAAGTGAGAGGCTTCAGTGTTTTACCTTCAATGTTACTAGTACTTCTCCATGAAGCGGATATACTCTGCTTCAGCGAAACCAGTTGGCTAGCCGTCCATGCTGCGCTTGTTGATTTTTTCCAATTTTTTTCAACTTCTTTCATTTCATTTCATTTCATTTCATAGCTTTTATAGGTTAGAGTTCTTTTGTAGTTTTGGTCGATTACAGGGTGTCCCATATAAAACTCCGCGGGCAAATATCTAAAGAATGAAAAAGAATATCCATATTTCGTGAAAGCAGATAATTCTGGTGGCCTCTTATTTACGTAGAGATCCAGCACTAGGCGTCATCCGTTAGGGCGTCACGACACCGACGCCAATTTTTTCAAATGATAACCCAGTATTTTCAAAATTCTGCATTTAATTTTGAATTCAGCCATATAGCACACTTGTAGTTTTCCTTGAATACTGATGAAAAAAAGCAATTTTATTGCGTATTATGAAGAGGGCCATGAATAAGTCAAAATAAATGTAATAATGTATTTATCGATCTATCAGAAGACCTGTCAGATTTGACGAAAGTGTATATTCAGTTTTGTGTTTTTGTGTGTTTTTCCTAAAATTGGAAAATGGTTCAACTTTCGAATGCAGAAAAGTTGGATATGATATGTATTTATGGCGAAGCAAGAAGGATTTCAAAAGAAGCAGTGAGAATAGACGCTAATCTGTATCCTAACAGAAAATTACCGTCAGACAAAACATTCGCTGGATTAGCCTAATCTTTGGCACGAAATGGATGTTTTAATGGACGAAAGCGAGAAAAACCAAAAACGGCTACTGATGAGAATCACAGTGTTGCAGTACTGGTCAAATATTATTGGAACCACATAGTTCCACCAGACAAGTAGCAATGAATTGTGACATTTCGAAATCGTCAATACAACGTATTTTGTCAAAAAACAAATTCCATCCATACAAAATACATTTGGTTCAAGGACTACATTCAGGTAATAATCATCATGTTTCATTTTTAATAACTAAAATATATTCCCATATTCAGGAGATTTTGATAGAAGATTGAACTTCATTCCATAGTTGTCCACCCGTATTCACGATGATGATCACTTTCTGAAAAAAATATGGAGTGATAAAAGCCGTTTCCGTAACAACGGTATAATAAACAAACATAATTGTCACTATTGGTCTGACGTGAACCCTCATTGGGTGCAAGAAACGAATCTCTTGGAGAATTTACCAATACAAACTCGACTGAATATGTGGTTTCAATAAGATGGGGCACCTCTACATAATGATAGAATAGGTACTCAATATTTGGATGATACTTTTAATGAGAAATGGATTGGAAATAAGGGTCCAATATCATGGCCAGCTTGAAGTCCAGATATTACTCTACAAGATTTCTTTTTGTGGAGATATATCAAAGACTCAGTTCATATGCGACGTCCACAAAATGTAGAGGATTTAAAAAATAGTATCACAAATGTTTGTGCTTCCATAACGTGAGAGACGCTTTTAGCTGACACTAATCGGAAATCACTAAAAAGATGCAATATTTGTATTCTACGTGGAGGGAGACAGTTCGAACACTTACTAAAATGATTCTTGTTATCACTAATTGATTTCATTATCATCATGTTAGTCTAGTTATGGTCAAAGTAATATATTTTTTGGTAGTTGGTAGAAACATTTATTTTAGTTTGTACAGAAATACGCAACTAGATAAAATTGAACAGACAATGAAATCATAACTGATGGATTCATTTCATTAAACTAGTATTATTGCATTAATTTTTTTCATCGGTATTCAAGGAAAACTACAAGTGTGATATATGGCTGAATTCAGAATTTAATGCAGAATTCAAAAACCAATTGAAAATACTGGATTACTATTTAAAAAAATTGGCGTCGGTGTCGCGACGCCCTAACGGACGGCGCCTAGTACTGGATATCTACGTAAATAAGAGAACCCTTTGACACCAAAAATCATTTGCTTTCACGAAATATGGATATTCTTTTTCAATTTCTTGATATTTGCCCTCGGATTTTCATATGGGACACCCTGTATATTCTTATTCCAACATTCATGGTGAAAAAGTGTTTTTATCATTTCTGAAAATTTGAATTTTTTCATTTTCACGGGTGATGAATTCATCATCCTATCAAAATAATTGAATGTATGGAACAAAATATATGTTCAACAAATTAATTTTGTTACTCATTGCTCAATTGGAGTAATTATTGAAACTATTGAAATTCATTTAAACTGCAGTTTTGAATTGCTAATATAGAAATTAGTTCCTTTATCCAATAAAAATGAATATTTATCAACTGTGTGATACGTATTTCAGATAATATTGTAATGTAGAAATGAACCACACTTCTCATCTGGAAGTTACATGTCACATATATTTATATTTACATCCTCCTAATTACGTTTGATGTCGTTATTGGATCATTTCTGATGTGAAACTTCTATAGCAGTACATAAAACCGATTACTGGCGTGGCGACGCATGCCGTGGCGAAAGGTCGCCATGCGCAAGCGACTGTACGATTCTCTTTCCGCTGGTTCGGCATTCTGCTCTCTCTCTCTCTCTCTCTCTCTCTCTTGCTATTCTGAGCTCAGATATAGTGTATACAGTTGTGTTTGCTACAGTAAACATAACCTGTGTTTTACTGAATGAATAATGTTTGAAAATAATATGCCTGACAGTGATAACTCGGAAAATGGAAATGAGCAACTTCCTGCAAAGTGTGTCCCACTACGATACACTATCAAGTCATCAGTGAGTTAATTATATGTTTAGATTTTATAATTAATGTGGGCATTTATCTGTGCACAATTTTCATAGCATATAATATTTTTAAATTAATAACTATTTATAACTAATTTTATTCTTATGAAAAATAATGCACTGAAACACTTTCGTGAAGAATATATTTCATAAAGACCGATAAAATTGTATTTCAAAATTATCTGATAGCGATAGTGCACGATAGCGATAGTGCACGAATGCTTTTCCATCACCACCAACCATCACAGGGGTCACAAAATATTTTTATTATTGATGTTTCACATCTGCCAGACGTCCCGTGAAGCCTCACAATTTTTGTTTTCATTCACTTACCTCTCAATTGATTTCGAAGTAATAAAATGTTCAAAATCGTCTCACCATCCAAATACGGAATGAACACAAAGCACTATATCAGTTAATCAGTTATGATTAAAATTTTACTCGTAACGCACTTTATATTGGCGCTATCTAATCCATGTCTGACGAAAAATTCAGATTGACTTATCCACTACTCTCGTTCGTTTCAAGTTTCATTCGAAAATTACATCGCTGTAGGTTAATGTAGTCTTCCATAGTAATTTGTAATAAATGTAATAATAATAAACGTTATTTTCCTGTTTGTCTAAAAAATAAAATTTTACAATATGAACAAGAAAACGAAAGAGCTTGTCTACAGTACAGTAACAGAACTTATATAGGCGAAACATTATGCTCCATCAGTGTAAGACAAAATGAACATCGTGAATACATGACAAATAGACAGATTACTGGATCGTAGATATTTTGAAACTCAGAATTGATTTCAAACAACATTCTGTATGTTTGATTAGAATATTGGATATGAAATTTGGCTATTCCATTTTTTTGATATCTGACAAAAGAAATTGAATATAGGTGTTTTGAAAATAATTTTAGGTTTGTAAGGGTGAAGAGTTTGTCATTTGCTAAGTATATAATTAACCAAGTATAATGATTATTAATCTTAAAGAGTTAATCAATCAGAACAACTTATACTATCTTCAAAACTGAATGAGCGTTAGGCAACACAGAAGTATATCACTCTGGAGGATGCTGTATAATTAAAGAACTTAACATCAGTATCAGACAGCGCTGTCTTGACTTGCTAAGGTATCATCAGTGTTACCGCCTTCACTTTCAGGGTTGTTCTTTATATGACCAACGAACCGACGATTGAGTCCTGTCGAGCCCTTAGATGGAATCTTCGTAAGGGGAGCTGTCATCGTCTTCACTTACATATTGTATAATAACTAATATCACCCAATTCCTCAAATTCATGGATCATTTTCTTATCTCTCTAATTTTCTATTTTTTCCGCAGGAGGATTGGAACACGACTAGGATGATACGAGAGAAGCATATACGGGGTCTGTTCAAAAAAATAAAATGAATTTTTATTTTGCTCAAGAAATATTTATTTATTCATTGATTTCTATTCTGTCACATTACCAGTTGTTTCCCTCAGATATAATACACTTGTGTCAGTATTACTTCCAACCTCGAAGCAGTTCTAATATTCACTTTGTAGTATCAGCTGTTTCAGCGGTTCGGTTGTTATCTCCCCAATATTTGCACAACACTATCCTTTCATGGTTCTCTTCAACTTTGGTGACATGAACAAGTCGCAGGAGGCCAAATCTGATAAATACGGTGGCTGTGACATGATTACGCTGTTGTTTTCTGCCAAAAACGAGTTAGCAGGTGTATTACAGTAATACAAAAACCATGATTTAATTTTCCACAGTACTGGACATTTTCTTCGTATTGCTTCTCGCAAGCAGCGCATAACTTCAAGATGATATTCCTTAATAACCATGAGACCATGTGTGCATTACGCCACGGTAATCGAAGAAAACAGTGAGCAAAACCTTGACATTTGATCAAACTTTTTTTTTCTTAATTACATTTATTTAATGTCGCATCAACCTCGAGGGTTATTAGCGACAATTCAAATTTCACAAAATATTGATTTCTTGCAGCAGCTTTAAACATCTTAGAAAGGCAATTAGTTTTTCATAGTTACAATTTTGTCCTAACACTGCTTCAATTGAAGGGGGGATGTCGTACTCGACTCTCTCGTTGTAGTAAGATTCGTACTTAGATAAAATTTGTTTGACACTTATGGCACAGTCACAAACTTCACATGTAGAAGGATTATTACCATTGAGGATGTATTCATGAGTGAGGTGAGTATGCCCTAGTCGAAGACGTGACAGGATAACTTGCAATTATCTCGTTTTTGGAAGTGATTTCCAGGGTAAGACCAATGGTTTGATTGCTGATAACTTAGAGTTGGATCCATTCCATTACTGTTGCCATACGTTAGTAAGGATTCGTTTGTAAAACGGTTTCAGGTCAGGGTGGGCTATTTTTTTTTCAATATCTGTAAGTGGGTTAGTAACAGCATCGTTTACCAGCTGGTCGGCCCTTTCGTTGCCTGCTATACCAACATGTGATGGAACCCACATAAAGTGAATATGTTTACGTTTCTCAATGATTGAGTGGAGCTTATGTTTGATGTGAAGTATTATGGGGTGTTCTGGGTTTAGCTTCGTTATTACCTCCAGTGTACTCAGTGAGTCGGTAATTACCAAGAATTTTAAATGATCGCTTTTCTCTGCATATTCAAGTGCTTTCCATATGGCATAAAGTTCTCCTAAGAACACAGTGCTTACTACTGGTGATTTGAAGGAGTGATTGGAGGCAGTACTGGTGAATGCTGCCCCCACTCCTTTTTCTGATTTGGATGCGTCGGTGTATATCTGGATACAGTCTTCGAATTGTTGCAATAGTTGTTGAAAAGTTGAGTGAATTAGACTATGATTGGTGGTATTTTTCTCGAATTGTACGAGCCCTTTTTCAATTTCAATGCTTGGAAAGGCCCATGGAGCAGGATTAAGAATCTTTGAGGTGTTGAAAATTTCAAGTCGATTGAATAGTAAGTTGGAAAGGAATCGATTGGGTCTCTCGTAGAATGGAATTGCCATTCCGAAAAAAACAGCTGAGCTGTTTTCTTTGGATACTTAATGGAGGTTCTCCTGACTCACAGTATAAACTTCCAATCGGACTTGTGTGGAATGCTCCAAAAGCAATTCTGAGCGCACAGTTTTGGATAGTGTCCAGTTTTTTTAAGCTCCCGTTTTTTGCAGAGGTGTACACTATAGAACTATAATTCAGTTTTGATATAATTAAAGATCTATAGATCAACATTAATATATTTGTATATGTACCCCATAATCTAGATGCAATATTTTTCATTATGTTTAGACCGCTCTGACAAGTCATTTTCAGGTATGTAATGTGCTCATTCCAGTTAAGTTTTTGATCGAATATCATACCCAGAATTTTATATGTTTGACATACTCAATATCTTTATTGTTGAGTTGTAATTTAGGCAAATTTTCTTTGGGTCTTTTCGTGAAATGGATACAGTTTGTCCTGCTCTCAGATATTCTTAGGCCTGATAGGACTGCATTCGCAGTCCAAAAGTGACGTTTTCGAATAATTATTACAATTATTCTTCCTTGTCCTTTGATACAATTCGTTCCATTATGATCGTCATTAGTAAACACTCACGAAAATTATCAATCAATGATATTATATGCATTTAATTTCGAAATTCATATCTTTGTTATTTATCAGATTGCTCTATGTCGAAATCAAGTATTCGGCATTGGTAAGTTACCTTCTAACTTTTATTGTCTTTAGAATTTTCCAGCTATGAGAAAAATATAATTCTTGCTACTATTTTCCACTTTGTAACCTCGTTATCCTATTGTTTATTGCCATTGATCAATAGATATTGCAAAATACCGTGAAATTAAATTCTCAGAATTATATTGAACACATAGAAACCATGATAGATTGTAAACTTTTGTTTCATCAGTAGGTACTTCACTTTACGAAAATTATATTAATATGTTTGCTGAATGTAAACAATCTTTGAATGATGTATTTGTAAGAGGCAAGTGCAGTTCTGACTATCAACAGAGGACATGTTACTTTCTTTGTTTATATTCATTACTAACAGGCACGAAGTTTTGAAGGGAGTGACGAACGGTGAATATTCTATTCGAATAAAGACTGAGGTGGGAAAAAATGCAGAAACATAGATATGGTCATTTATGTCTATGGATCGTAATCAGACATGACAGCGATAGTGAGCGAACACAAATGCAGTATAATATCACATATTTGATAGTTGAATAGAAAATTATTTTCAAGATATATTCATTTTTATATATAAAAACAAAAATTATTCTCATATTAAGAAAGAGCCTTTTCGAAACAACTACTTTCATATGAACATTGAATTATAAAAAAAAACACCTTTTTTTTATTCAGTTTGCACTTCAACCATTCGTTATGGAATTGAATCAGATATCATCCACAGGATCGCTATACAATATAGTGTATGGAAGAGGTGAAATTTCACTTACATGGAACACTATCATCCTCAATGGCAGACATCCGATGTTTGAGAATAAGAAACTTGCCTCATTGCCTCTTCAGCACCAGCACTGGATAAAAGTGAAGAAGTAGATAGTGAAAACCTTTTTTTCCAAAAATAAATCCCTCCTGAAAACATACCCCTTTCAATTTAAATCGACATCTTGTTTTATCCAGTGAAGATATCAAAAACTGTTTGGTGCTTTTTTTATATTCAGATCCAATCAGAATAAGGCTTTCAAGAAAAATGGACTGAGATATACCGTGGATATACCGAGTCTTTCAGAAGTAGTATTGTCAAATATGGTGGCTTATGGTGGCTGTTATATTTGACCGCAACCATTTTCATGAAACAGTTGTCGTGTCTGATTCTAGAGGATTCATTCCTCGTTTTTTCATGTGAAACGTGTGAGTTATCTTATATTTTTTATATTATTTCATAGAAAACTAGCTAACCCACGCTAGAATTTGTCAATGCTATTTCCCTATGAGGTTGCTTATATAAATTCCATGGAATGTTTCTTCTACAGAAACACCTTACTCTCAACAGAACAAAATTATGTTGATGATGCTAACTTGATTAGCAAAACGTGCGTCGAGAGATGGCAATTTCATTCTGATGAGAGAGAAGTGTTTTCAGTAAATTAGTTTCATGCACAGATGTTTCCAAGTATCATATTTATATTGAATTGATCATACAGTTATCAAAACAGAGTCTTCTCAACGAACTCATTGCCAAAGTACTCCAAATTTTTGTTGGAAAAGTAATATAACTTTTGCTACTATTTTTGTCAGCTAACGAACTACTTGGAATATACCTACCCATAATTTTCATATTTTTCAAAAGTGGTCTTCGAGGGAGTTCGGGAATCAATAAAATATGTTTTATGATTTTGATTCGCCCAATATTATGAAAATAGATTTTGTTCAATTTTTCAGTTGATACTGAAAAGATTACATTTTTGAAA